CGGGACGAGTCGAGCATGTCGCCGTGCATAAGCGATGGTGAGTGGAGCGCCGACGAGCTGCTTGTCGGTGTCGAGTGCAAGCTGTTGCTGGGCGTCGCGGCGTCGAGCACCATGCCTTGTTCGCCAAAGATGCTCATGACGTCACGGTGCTTCTTGGGCACATGCGACGTCGGGCGCTTCACGCTGGCATGCGACGTCGGGATCACAGAGACATGCGGCGTGTGGTCGCGCACGCGAAGCGCGTTGTAAAACTGTTGCAGGTCCGGGTCGTCCGACACGGGCAGGTGGTTCGGGTTGCAGCTCAAGGGCGAGCGCGACGCGCGCCGTGGCCGCGTCGGCTCATACACGTCAGGATGCGCCGAGCTGGACATGGTGGCCGAGTCGATGTTGGTCGTAGAGGTCGTCGAGGTGCTGGAAGGCGTACAGCCCATGAAGATGGAGCGGGCGCGGAACGTCACGGTGGCACTCGTGGTCGAGGTTTCGAAAATTCCGAAATGAAGCGACGGGCAGGTCCGTCAACCGAAAATTATAGCCAATCCCAGCGCAGCCCTATTCACTGTCCTAATTAGGACATCCCGCCGTGTGCAACCTTTGCAAATATTAGAACCCGCGCGGTTTTTCTGCCAATGTAATATGCAATATATCTCGCTTTCTTCTTGTGCTAAAACTCGGGACTGCTGCATGCCAGTACGACGACGACGACGTCCGATTCAACCTTTGGAAACGGTTGAATAAAATGGGAGGATCGGTGCGTTGGAGTCGCTGGCTATTTCATTCCGCGAGTACCCACGATGAGTGAGATTATTTACAAGTTCAAGAAGGCCCGCGACCACCCGGCGACGCGTGCAGGTGCTGTAGCTAGATACCTCTGTACCTCGTCGCGCGCGCGCAAAAATGGTGGGAAGATCAAGCGTTGTTTCTGCGCGAGGTCAGAACAAGGCAGAACGAGGCAGTGCTTGCCATGCCATTACAAAACACAAAACGCGCGTGTACTGGAAGCTGCATACACTGCATTGTACCAACCCTTGGACGACGACGACGTCATGTAGGGGCCTGGCCACACGCCTCTACGCATGTAAAACATGGTATGTAGTACCAGGTACTACAATAACGAAGCGCGATCCGAAGCGCTGCTTCTACTGCGACGCTGCGACAAGGCGCAGGGCGCCACACAGTGTACGATGCTAGTCAAACAATACACTGTATGACTCGTCGAATGGCGCGACACCGAGCATTCTTATGGTGCTGCAAAGACACTTCAACGTCCGAAATGGCCTCAAACCAGGCCACCGCCGGTCAAACTTTTCAACCAATCATATGCGGCCATGTCGCGACATGCGCCTGCGATTGGTGGAAAAGGCGCTGAATTTTGGCGCACCGCGACACGCACCTATTCACATTTTCAGATTTTCAGATTTTTCAGATTTTCAGATCGATCAGATGTGGATTGACCAGCAACAGAGACTGTCGTACGCGCTCATTCGTTTTCGCGGCCCTTAGCGACGACCACGACCACACGAAGCTGCGCTGCGATGTGTCCTATTTTCCATTCCTTGGTTGAAGTTGCCGCCGAGCTTCTCTATTTTAGATCACACGACGTCTGGTTCTTCCTCCAGATGGCAGCACGACTAGTCAACCGACGAGATTTCGCCGGCACTCGTGCGCACTAATGCTTGAAGATGCGGTCGACGGATCGTGCGAGGTCCATATCACCGACGCGATGCACAACTTGTCTATGGTCTGAAAAAGGATTACTGCCGGGTGGAGGCGCGCACAAATTTGAAACTCAACGCACGTCTGTCTCGCGTACCAGATTCCAACGCGTGGACCCGACGTCTTTATATCCCAGCCGCTTGAACCTCAACGTACAATGCCACAAGTGCACGCAACCGCAACCATCTGAGAGCGACGATCATGGTCCAATGCGATGGACCACGCTCATGACGACATTAGCTTCTTCTGCATCTGCCTGGGATCGGCTTATGTACACGAAACAAAGCCATCCAATAGACGCAGCACACTACCTGGTACGACTCCAGGTCCTGTGTTGGGTGCGTAGGCGATTCAGCGGTGCAGGTTTCGAGACAGCGTACCCCATTCATGCAGCCAAGAATGTGAATGCGACTGCTGACATCCGATCTCGATGGGATGACTGCGTGCGTTCCTGCACCAGCGACCACCGATGTCGACCACGGCAACGAGAGACGAGATGGTCGTATTGTCTTCATTTACTTTTTGGCCCGCTTGGTCGCGGGGGCCTTGGCGCCGCGCCGCCCTTGGCTTTGGCGCCGCGTCCGCGCGCGGTGGGCGTCACGCGCTCGGGCTTTTCGGGAATCGAAGCCGCGAATTCGAGCGCAAACGCGTGGTTCCAGCCACCAAAGAGCTTCTTGATCGTCGGCAGCGTGGGGACTTTGGTCGGCGTCGCATCCTTCTCGGACGTCTCGCCGCGCCCG